TCGAAAATAGAACAGTCAAAGAAGGAGTTCTTGTCTGTGTTGCAAGGTGTGAAGTTGAGTAAAGACTCAAAACCCGACCACGACAGAAAATAGAAAGAGTATGAAAAGTCATTCCCTATGCATCAGTCATAGGTTCTATAAAATATGCTATGTTGTGTACCAAACCTATTGTGTACCTCAACATAAGTTTGACAAGAGGGTACAATAGTGATCCAGGAGTGGATCACTGGACAGCGGTCAAAAATATCCTTAGTCGCATAAGGAAATGTTTCTCGATTATGGAGGTGACAAAGAGTTCATCGTAAAGAGTTACGTCGATGCAAGCTTTGACACCGATCTGGATGATTCTAAGTCTCGATCTAGATACATATTGAAAGTGGGAGCAATTAGCTAGAGTAGCTCCGTGCAAAGCATTGTAGACATAGAAAATTTGTATAATACATACGGCTCTGAATGTGGCAGACCCGTTGACTAAATTTCTCTCACAAGCAAAACATGATCACTCTTTGGATGTTAATCACATAGCGATGTGAACTAGATTATTGACTCTAGTAAACCCTTTGGGTATTAGTCACATGGAGATGTGAACTAATCACATAAAGATGTGAACTATTGGTGTTAGATCACATGACGATGTGAACTAGATTATTGACTCTAGTGCAAGTGGGAGACTGAAGGAAATATGACCTAGAGGCAATAATAAAATTGTTATTTATATTTCCTTATATCATGATAAATGTTTATTATTCATGCTAGAATTGTATTAACCGGAAACTTAGTACATGTGTGAATACATAGACAAACAGAGTGTCACTAGTATGCCTCTACTTGACTAGCTCGTATGATGGTTATGTTTCCTAACCATAGACATGAGTTGTCATTTGATTAACGGGATCACATCATTCGGGAATAATGTGATTGACTTGACCCATCCATTAGCTTAGCATGATGATCGTTTAGTTTGTTGCTATTGCTTTCTCCATAACTTATACATGTTCCTATGACTATGAGATCATGCAACTCCCGAATACCGGAGGAACACTTTGTGTGCTACCATACATCACAACGTAACTGGGTGATTATAAAGGTGCTCTGCAGGTGTCTTCGATGGTGTTTGTTGAGTTGGCATAGATTGAGATTAGGATTTGTCACTTCGATTGTCGGAGAGGTATCTCTAGGCCCTCTCGATAATGTACATCACTATAAGCCTTGCAAGCAATGTATCTAATGAGTTAGTTACGAGATGTAGCATTAAGGAACGAGTAAAGAGACTTGCCGGTAACGAGATTAAACTAGGTATTGAGATACCGATGATCAAATCTCGGGCAAGTAACATACCGATGACAAAGGGAACAACGTATATCATTATGCGGTTTGACCGATAAAGATCTTCGTAGAATATGTAGGAACCAATATGAGCATCCAGGTTCCTCTATTGGTTATTGACCGGAGGCGTGTCTCGGTCATGTCTACATAGTTCTCGAACCCGTAGGGCCAACACGCTTAAACGTTCGGTGACGATCGTATTATGAGTTTACGGGTTTTGATGTACCGAAGGTAGTTCAGAGTCCTAGATATGATCACGGACATGACGATGAGTCTCGAAATGGTTGAGACATAAAGATCGATATATTGGACAACTATATTTGGACATCAGAATGGTTCTGGGTGAGATTGGGCATTTACCGATGTACCGGGAGGTTACCGGAACACCCGGGGAGGTATATGGGCCTTATTGGGCCATAGTGGGAGAGAGGATAAAGGAGCAAAGGAGGGGGCGCCCCCCAAGCCCAATACGAATTGGGAGGGGGGGCCCTTTCCTTCCTCCTTCCCCCCCTTCCTTCTTTCCTAATCCAACTAGGGAAGGGGGGGAATCCTACTCCCAGTGGGAGTAGGACTCCCCTTGGGGCGCGCCTAGGAGGCCGGCCCCCTTCCCCTCCTCCACTCCTTTATATACGGGGGAGGGAGGCACCCCATAGACACACAAGTTGATCATTGATCTCTTAGCCGTGGGCGGTGCCCCCCTCCACCATAATCCACCTCGGTCATATCATAGCGGCACTTAGGCGAAGCCCTGTTCCGATAACATCATCATCACGCCGTCGTGCTGACGAAGCTCTCCCTCGACACTCTACTGGATCGTGAGTTCATGGGACGTCACCGAGCCGAACGTGTGCAGATCGCGGAGGTGTCGTACCTTTGGTGCTAGGATCGGTCGATCGTGAAGACGTACGACTACATCAACCGCGTTGTCATAACGCTTCCGCTTACGGTCTACGAGGGTACGTAGACAACACTCTTCCCTCTCGTTGCTATGCATCACCATGATCTTGCCTGTGCGTAGGCAAAATTTTGAAATTATTGCATTCCCCAACACCTCACAGCCTTAGGGTGCGAGGCCAACATGGGCTACAACGGGCATGTAGGTGTTGCCCAACTGCAAACATGAGCTTGCAACCTCCAAGCCTCCGCGTCGCTGGCCGAAAGGCTAAATGAAATGCGAGGAGATCTGAACCTCCTAGCTAGCCTCAAGAAAGTGATCCACAACATAGTAGAGCTTCAGCATAATATGATTCAGTCAAGGCAACACCTGGACGAGACCGACAACGTCCTCTCAGACACAAGACATGGAACAATTGGTAAGGCTCAACATCGAGCACCTCTTCCACCCCGAGTTTCCTTGGTGCATAATCGCCTAGGTCACCAGCTCGATCTCCACGACCACCTCCGAGATCGCAAGATAGAGCACTATGGCGACAACTACGAAGCCCCGGTGCCAAGACCATCTTCCCTGACATTTGGCATAGCTCCCCCATGCTCCGCGTACGAGGCCGTCACGCACCCTTTCCCAACACCATTCATCGTCCGAGGGGTCGAGAAGTACTCTGGTTACTCTAAGACAGACCACTTCTCAACAACTACCTAATGGCGGTCAAGATGGCTAACAGCAATATCGATAATGCGCTTCATTATATATGTACCCTGTTACTTACATGCTCAGCACATTCATGGTTGAATGGGCTTTAGCCGTACTCCATCCACACATGGGCAGACTTCGAGATAGCCTTCATCAACAACTTTAAAGGAATGTACCAGCAACCGGGGAGCGCATACGACCTCCATAGCTGCATCCAAGGTGACAATGATCTCGTCCATGACTTTGTTGCGCGGTGGCAAGAAAAGAGGAACACTCTCACAAACATCTCCGACGAGACATCAATAGATGCCTTCATCAACTGTGCACAAGAGCCTTTCCTCCACCACAAGCCTGGCAAGAAACGGGGTGACAGCAGGCTGACCACAATGGCGACACTAATGAAGGTCGCCAATGACTATGTGATCAGTGAAGAAACCACACAAGCAGGCCGCTGACCCATGGCAGTCCTAGAGGCCCCGGAGCCCGCCGGGCTCCAGAGGAAGAAACAAAAATTGCAATAGGGACCGAAAGAGGAAGGAGGTGCAAGACTCCGAGCTTGTACCAGTAGCCAGTAGCATGAAAAAGAAAATGTTGGACATCAAGCCTAGGCAGTCAGCCCACACTTATGAGGAGATTATGAGTGGTCCGTGCAAATATCGTACAAGGCATCTCACTCCACTAGGGAGTACCAGCTTAACGACCAGCTCGTCAAGGAGAAGAATGGCAAGACCAACGATGACGGGTTTTTCACCTAGGTTTGGGACCTCATAGTCGAGGTAATACCCTGATCTTGCTTTGCTTTTGATTAATGATGGAAACGCCTCGTGTGAGGAGCTTACAGATGGAATATGGTAATAACTACTGAGTGTTTGACTAAGAATCAGATGCCCTCAATCTATCCCTAGCATCGCCTTATAAAATGGAACGAGAGCTAGGGTTTACAAGTTTCATAACCGACCTCACCTCTAAATCGGTCAAGGGGGCCTTGAATTGTACGCCAAGAAGGTGAGTATGCGAAAGTCGGGCTTTCTATTGGTCAAAGGGCCCCTGATTGTTGCCTGATCTCATGGGCCCTTCGGCCAACCCATTGACGGACCTCCGAGTGGATGGGTCACCCCCGGTACATTACACCGTCACCTACCGTTACAAACTACAAATAAAATATCACACCAAAAATGCATGTCAAATAAAATATCACAAAATTGGGAACAAAATGTCACAAAGAATAAATGCATGGTAAATAAAAGATTACATATCTGGAAATAAATACCGCACCAAATAAATGCATGGCAAACAAAGGATTACAAAATTGGAAAGAAAGTATCACAACAAATAAATGCATGACAAACAAAAGATTACAACACCGCAAACAAAATATCACACCAAATAAATGCTGAAAAAAATAAATTACAAAACTACAAACAAATATCACACCAAATGAATGCATGGCAAACAAACAGATTAGAAAAACAACAACTCCATCTTGAAAATCTGGCTCCTATATTTCCTCGATGTTTGAAATAAACTTCTGGCCCACGTAGGCTTCCTTTTCTTGGGCGCTGTTCTTTCTCCGAAAAGAAGGATTACCCCCGGCCTCTGCATCAATTGATGCACACAGCCATATTATTAGTCTGACATTGTTGTGTGTTCGACAATTGTGCTACGAATTTATTTATTTTCCAGATATGGATTTAAAAATGCAACAACACTTAAGTGAAGCTCCATGGTGTCCGAGCAGGTTATAGTTCAAACTCAAATGAGGATAGTGTTATGAGTTGGCAGATAGGACCCCGAACCCCGTAAAAGAATGACACCACAATTCTAACAGGGAATCATTTCATATCAGTGCTAACAAGGGACCAGTCTGGCCGATTGTTTAGACCTCCTGAGACGATTAGCATATCATATACATTTACGATTAGAAATCAATGGACATCTTCTTGTCGGGGTAATATTGCATTTGTTTATAAAATTCACATCATTACAACATTGCTGAACAATGAGGTTGACAACTGGAAGAAATTATTCATCCCCTTTTATATGCTAAACCAATAAATCAAGAACTATTGTCTGTGCTAACCGACTATTTGTCGCAGAAATAGCAGTAGCATTCGCTGCTCAATGCTGGCCCTATACACCTGTGTTCCTTTACGATGGCGTTAAACATTTTGCCTCCAATCAAGCATGTCGCCTTGCACAGAAAGCCTACACAAAGCGGAGCACCGGAGGTACTTTCCCAGCACTTATGTTCTGCAACAAATTACGCGCGCATGTTTATATCCATGAAGAATTTATAAGCGAAGAGAGAACACGAAAAATCATAATAGCCAGAAGAAGAGAATTGTTGCAAATCATTTGCCAATTATCATCGATCCGAACACAGTGAGACAAAGAGAGGAGCTCAAACCTGCGGAACCATGATTCGCAAACAACGCAAGTATTAGCACAAAGCACATAGCAGCATTTCTCGCACCCATGGTCGGTGGTGTTGGGCAAAGTATCAAGTATGCTTTTCTTTTCTTCCTCTACTTAGTTTGCTATATGGAGCAAGTACTGTTATGCCATAGAGGATCTGCAATATTTATACTCTTTATTTTTCTTGCCGGGATGCAATATTTGTAGATTTGGAAGTTATTAAAGATTCCTATAAGAGGAGAGGACAAATGTGTTTACTAATTTCTTTTTCCAAAAAGAATGTAAAAATTAATATAACATGATAAACATGCAATATGTTGGTACGTCAGAATACGAAGGAGAAAAATCTCCTTGACCCTTTCTTTCTGCAAGCTGTTGCGCCCAAACGGAGTCAGCGCTAGAGCTGCATCAGTCCGGGTCTATGTACCAATCGAAGCCCGATACGTGACCAAATATATTTTTTTGTTGCAATCCGTTCTCAGGTTAGCCCGGCACGAAATGGGAGTCAGACCAGCTAGCCTTGCAGCAGAATACCATGTATTTCAAAATGAAACGCAGTTCAAGTGAAACCCCATGATGTACGAGTAGGTTAGTAGTCCAAGTCAAATGAGGGCAGTATTCTGATTCTGACAGCTAGGACCCCGAACGCCATGAAAGAATGGCACCACAATTGTAACATGGAATCGTTCAGGTCAGTGCTAACAAGGGACCGGCATGGCCGATTGTTTAGATCACCTGAGACGATTAGCACATAATATACATTTACGATCACAAATCAATGGAGATCTTTTGTAGGGATAATACTGCACTTGTTTATAAAATCCGCATCATCGTAACATCATCGGACAATGATGTTGACAACGAGAATAAATTATTATCCCCTTTATATGCTAAACCAAGAAATCACGAACTATTGCCTCTGGTTTCTTTGACCATTTGTAATAATGAGGCAATCTTCAGTTCCATGCTAACAAACTATTTGTCGCAGAAATAGCAGTAGCATTCGCTGTTCAATGCTGGCCCTCTACACTTGTGTTCCTTTACGATGGCATTAAACATTTTGCCTCCAATCAAGCATGTTGCCTTGCACAGGAAGCCTACACAGAGTGGACTCCCAGAGGTATTTCCCCAGCACTTTTTTTCTGCAACGAATTAACATGCATGTTTATATGCATGAAGAACTTAAACCGAAGAGAAACAAATCATATTAGTTGGAAGAATAGAATTGATGCAATTTCTTCATGAATTATTTGCCGATTATCATCCGTCTGAACCGAATGAGACAAAGAGAAGAGCACAAACCTGCAGAACCATGATTCGCGAATAACACAAGGATCAGCACAAAGCAGATGGTAGCATTTCTCGCACCCATAATCGATGGTGTTGGGCAAAGTATCAAGTAGACTCTCTCTTTTCTGTTCTTTCTCTGGTTAGTTTTGATATGGAGCAAGTACTGTTATGCCAGAGAGATTATGCAATATTTATAGACTTGGAAGTTAAAGATTCGTATAGGAGAGGACAAATATGTTTAATACCTTCCTTTTTTGAAAAGGAGGTAAAAATATGTTTAATAACTTCTTTTTTAAAACGGAGATAAACATATGTTTAATAACTTCTATTTTTGAAAAGGAGGTAAAAATATGTTTAATAACTTCTTTTGTTGAAAAGGAGGTAAAAATATATATGTCCAACAACTTGATAGATATGCAATATGTTGGTCTGTAAGAATACCAAGGAGAGCGAACCAACCTGTGATTGAATGGTTAGAGTGACTGTGGTATCTCCGGTCCATCAGGGTTCAAATTCTGGTGCTCGCATTTATTTCTGGATTTATGTCAGGATTTCCGGCGATGCGCTTTCAGTGGGAGGAGACGTTCCCGTCGACGATGAGATGCCTACGGGCTACGGTGACTGCGTTCATAGGGGTGAGTGTATGCGCGTGTATATGAACGCTTGCGTCTATACTGTGTTAAAAAAAAAGAATACCAAGGAGAGAAAATTCTCCTAGACCCTTTCTTTCTCTTAAAATCTTCCATAAACTTTTAGAGGAAATTTCTTCAGAGCTACTTTTGTCAGATCCTGTAAACTTCTTTCCCTAAATTTGTTTATTTTATTTTCCACTAAATAAGACTAGATAAGCCTAGGGCCTGCCAGTCAGTGACACGCGTGGCAGCCTTCGGCGAGAGTGGCGGAGGCAGTGCGGTGGCCGTCGGCGAGAGGCGGTGGTGACCCGGGGCTGCACATGGGCGGGGCGCGTAGTGGCGTAGCGGCTGCATTCTCGCTGGACGGCGACGTGTTGGCGGGTCGGCGGTGCGTCAGGAAGTTGCAAGCGGTTTCTAGGCCATCAAAAGCTTGTAAGAAGGAAAACTTCCCCTAGACCAGAGAAAAGTTTAGGCCAAGTTTACATGATCCTCTAAATTTATTCCATTTTTATGAAATCTGTTGGTAGGGTATGCGTGTGTGTGTTCATAGGGGTGAGTGTATGCGCGTGTATATGAACGCTTGCATCTGTACTATGTTAAAAAAAGAATACCAAGGAGAGAAAATTCTCCTAGACCCTTTCTTTCTCTTAAAATCTTCCATAAACTTTTAGAGGAAGTTTCTTCAGAGCTACTTTTGTCAGATCATGTAAACTTCTTTCCCTAAATTTGTTTATTTTATTTTCCACTAAATAAGACTAGATAATTGCCTAGGGCCTGCCAGTCAGTGACACGCGTGGCAGCCTTCGGCGAGAGTGGCGGAGGCAGTGCGGTGGCCGTCGGCGAGAGGCGGTGTGGTGACCCGGGGCTGCACATGGGCGGGGCGCGTAGTGGCGTAGCGGCTGCATTCTCGCTGGACGGCGACGTGTTGGCGGGTCGGCGGTGCGTCAGGAAGTTGCAAGCGGTTTCTAGGCCACCAAAAGCTTGTAAGAAGGAAAACTTCCCCTAGACCAGAGAAAAGTTTAGGCCAAGTTTACATGATCCTCTAAATTTATTCCATTTTTATGAAATCTGTTGGTAGGGTGTGCGTGTGTGTGTTCATAAGGGTGAGTGTATGCGCGTGTATATGAACGCTTGCTTATGTACTGTGTTAAAAAAAGAATACCAAGGAGAGAAAATTCTCCTAGACCCTTTCTTTCTCTTAAAATCTTTCGTAAACTTTTAGAGGAAGTTTCTTCAGAGCTACTTTTGTCGGATCCTGTAAACTTCTTCCCCTAAATCTGTTTATTTTATTTTTCACTAAATAAGACTAGATAATGGCCTAGGGCCTGCCAGTCAGTGACATGCGTGGCAGCCTTTGGCGAGAGCGGCGAAAGCAGTGCGGTGGCCGTCGGCGAGAGGCGGTGTGGTGACCCCGGGCTGCACATGGGCGGGGCGCGTAGTGGCGTAGCGGCTACATTCTCGCTGGACGGCGGCGTGTTGGCGGGTCGGCGGTGCGTCGGGAAGTTGTAAGCGGTTTCCAGGCCACCAAAAGCTTATAAGAAGGAAAACTTTCCCTAGATCAGAGGAAAGTTTAGGCCAAGTTTACATGATCCTCTAAATTTATTCCATTTTTACGGAATCTGTTGGAAGCTCTTTTCCCCCCAAACTAGTTTTTACACATATGGAATCTGTTGGAGATATCTGTTGTAGATGCTCTAAAGTTGGGGGGCTCCTATTCTACGATGTATGCGGGGAGTAGCAACGAGACGCGCACTCACTTGTCCCCCTCGCGCAAACTTCGGCCGCCCAGGTGCGGGGCTGAGCTCCACTGTTTTTTTTGTTCACTTTGTTATTTGTTTTACTTTTCTGTTTTTCTTCTTTAGAAAAGTTTTGAATTTTAAAAAAGTCCTGAATTTGAAGTCAAATAATGTTCATGATTTTTTTAAATTTTAAGAACATTTTTTAATATCATGAATATGTTTTATAATTCATGAACATTTTTTAAATGATAAATAATTTTAAATTTTGATGAAGTTTATTTGAATTTGATGAACAGTTTTTTAATTTGATGATTTTTAAAAAAATTGATGAAGATTTTTGAATTTGATGGATAATTTTAAATTTGGTGAACGAAATATATTCGTGATTTCAAAAAAATGTTCATAGAGTTTTAGAAGGTATCCACGAAAAAAGAAGAAAATAAAAAGGGAAAAAAGAAAACAAAACAGAAAATAAAAACGAACATGAAAAAAATGAAAAGCAAGAAAATGTAAAAAGGAAAGAAAATCTATTAAACGCACCTGATAAGACCTGGAATCTTACTGGCTAGCGGCACATAGGTTGCTGTACTAGCTAGCGCATGTATGATCCTCACTTCTGCATCTTAAATTTGAAGATGGTTTCTCCTCTGCTCCACATATTTTTAATAACTTTTTTCTCCTCTTCAGAGCCTCTTTCCAGCCGCCGCCTTCTCCTCCAAGAAAAGCTAGGGTTCGTGCCTCTCGCCGGCTTCGCCATAGGTCCGCCTCGTCTTCGCTGGCCCTAGGGTCATGGGGCGCGGTGGATCCTGGCAAGGGCCGGCAGGAGGGCTCCGTTGTTAGTCGTTCCTTCAAGATTTGTTAGGGTTTGTGTCGTACTCAGGAAGACAAGACGACGGCGGCTCCCTGAAGATGGAATAAAGATCTCCCCGCCTAGTCCTCGTTCCGGTGATGCGTCTAGCATCGTTAGTGGGCGTGTGGAGGTGTGTCTCCGGCGGATCTATCCTCGATGGATTTGCTCGGATCTGGTTGTGGTTCGTCTATGTTCGTGTGTCTTCAGGTTGGATCTTTTCAATCTATGTTATTCTTCATCAGCGACGGTTGCTGTTCTGGTGCGTTGGTCCTACGGAGTCTTAGCACGACGACCTCACCAGAGCGGGGCAAAACTTGTTGTAGTAGGCAGTCCGGAAGTCGTCATGCTAAGACCCAAATGACAAACGCACCAGAACGGCAACCACTGCCGATAAAGAGTAACGTAGATCAGAAAGATCCAACCTGAAGACACACGAACATGGATGAACGACTATCAGATCCGAGCAAATCCACCAAAGATAGATCCAGCGAAGACACACGCCCACCGACGATACTAGACGCACCACCGAAACGGGGACTAGGCGGGGAGAC